ATCATAAGTTATAAAATTAAAACTTATTCATATTACATTTTATCTTGTTTACAACCATTAACAAAATAATCTTACACTTTTTATTAAAATAATTATAAAATTTTAATAAATAAAATAAAATTATTTGTAAAATAAATATAATAAATTAATTATTTAATAAGATAATTATAATTAAATTAATAATTTATTTATAAATTAATATATAAAAATTAGATAAATTTAAAAATTTATAATGAATTAAATAATAAATTAATAAATCTAATCAAATCTTTCTATGATCACATCTTTTTATAATTATCTTTTTTAATAATTAGCTTTTTTAAGTTTTTCAGTTACTAATTAATTATAATTAAAAAAAACTCTATAATTATATCTTTCTTTAATCATCCAATTTTGCTTTTTTAAGTGTGATAACTATAAAGAGATCTGACTGTAAATAATTTTAATAAAGCACTTTATAAATTAAATTATAATAAAAATAAGTTTTATAAATATTTTATTAATAAAAAATAAAATATTAATTCAAAATATTATTAATTTTCAGATTAATCAAATACTATTTTTAATATAATTATTTTTGAACTTATTAATTAAAATAGAATATTAATAATATAATAAAATAAAAATATACTAAATAAATATAATTTAATATTAAAGTATTAATATATAAAAATACTTATATAAAAATTTTTTAAAAAATTTTTAATTCTAATTTTAAATATTATTATATTATATTTAATAATATATTTAATATATAATTTTATTATTTATGCAAAAATATATATAATAGCAATTATAAGAATATAATACTTGAATTTTTATTGATTATAATATATATTTTTTATTCTACATAAAAGTTTTTATTTTTATTAATATTTTTTTTTTATTTTGAGCTAAAAATAAAAAATATTTAATAGTAAAATCAAAACTTTTATATATAATAAAAAATATGTATTTTATTAATTATAATTTTTCTTCTTTCTCTTTTAATAATTAATTAATATTTGTAATTAAGAGAAGCGTCATTTAACATCTGATTTCCAGTTAATTTTTTAAATGTTAACAGTACTGAAAAAGGAAGAATATATAATAAAGATAACTAGAACTATTTTATATTGCAGATTGTGGGACAGATTTGTTGATTGATAAAATAAGACTAAATCTCTAAAGAAAAAAAACCAAAAATCTCGTTGTAGAAGGTGAGTCAAAATATCAACCTAAAGCCTTTAAGTATTTTTTTCAACTTTAATTTTTCCCATTCTTTTCTCGGCCCTCTGTCTTAAGCACTCGCCCGTAACTCTGACAGCTGGATTTAGTGCGCCAAGAATCCACGCGTGAAGAACGTCAGTATGTTCCCCCAACCCAATGAATCGTCAATTCGTCTTTTGAAACATCCCATATGGATTGTATCAGAGAATCCACAAAGGCGCGACTGTAGCATCTACATTAGACCAGCAGATGAACAGGTTATTTTGAGACCCTGTGATCCAGTTGTCTTAGTTGTCTTTAACTATGGAGCCGTGTAGAATTTCAATATTTTTTAATGCAAGGTGGATACAATATTCTTCTGTGCAAATGCAAATTTGGCAGCACCTCTGCTCCATGTGTGGGAGGCCATTTGGATAGAAGGTTAGAGAGATGATGAAACTAGTATCACCGTATTTTCGCGAAATAACGCCCATGGCGTTATTTCGAAAATAGTATCCTTTAAAAATAGATATTTACAAATAACGTCCATGGGCGTCCCGAAGTAACGCGCACCACCTCTATAACATTGATAAATCACATTTCCTTTAATATAAATTCGAGCTCGGCACAGTCTCGTACTCTTTATTTTTGTTTCGCTATTCTTGAACGTTTACCAATCGATTTTCTAATATAAAGAAGCATGAAGTTTGATGTAGCTTCTGAATATGAAATTGCCTCAAGTTTACACGCGAGAGTATGTATAACTTCGTTTTGTGCGCAAAACAAAGAACTTGCATGCGAAACAAGCAAAAAAATAACGAACACATTTTATATTATGGGTTGTTTGTCTTTAATACAAGAAAAAAACAAAAGAGACTTAACGAAAATGTAAAGCAAAACAACATAAATATGAATAAAAACAAATAAAACAAGAAAAATAAAAACCTTCATACTTACATACATGTATATTTATATGAAAGCTATACATATTTACATATAGATCGTACGACGCACAGGTTTAGAGAAAATCGACTTTATATCCCGAAATAACGCGTATTCAAAATAACGCACAAGTGGCCGTTATTTCGCGCGAAAAACGGTATAATAGAATGGATATATTACTCTGCAATTAAAAGGTCGGTAGATCGGTGGAGGAAGCATCGCTGATGATTGTTTTTGGCATGGTTTCCCAAAAAACGAGATTTGATTTGGGGAATATCTTGTCCGCGTCGGCATAACCTAATTCGCGAATCGCGCATCTTTTTCCATATGCAATATCTACGTATTTTGTAAAATTTAAGGTTGCCACATTAATAATGCAAACAACTTACCTGGCAATTCCCATTGCCGAACAACCCCAAGAGAACAGCTACAATAACCTAATCAAACTTCCTCGGACATATCAATCTCTCCTTCGTCAGTCAATTTCCAATACACAGTCAAACAAGATGTCCAACTTACAGTATATACTTTACTATTGAGCTTTATTTGTTCTCCAGTAACGGAATGAACGTATTGGGCAGTTTTTGCGTTCCATTGAACGCAAGCTGGAAAAATACTGTCGCGGATCTGTCATTTCGATGGCTCTGATGAAGTCTTCAAAATTCTCGCGGCATATATGTTTGTCAGAATACTATCTGGAAGGTCTATCTCCTTCAAGTAGGAATATACAGTGTGGTGGTCTCGTTTCAAAAGCCCTTCTTCTCATCCTCATCGAATGCAAGGAAAAATGGGTTCAACGTCTCGGCGTATTCCTCTTGAAAATATCGCGGAACCGAGTTCATCAAAAATGATCACGAGCATATCTTTTGTTCATAATACCACCATTGAGCTCCCTCTTGTATTTATAGAAATATCGACCACTTCAAATGGCCACCAGTTAGCAATAATTTACAAGTACACAAATTACAGGAAAACATAAAAGCCATTAACTTTTTATTTAACTCAATAAGGTCAAATTATCAATGAGATCAAACACTAGCGTGTGGTCTCCCATATGTGTGGTCGCCTTCTTTAACATGTAGCAATCTCATTGCACCGAGTTCACCATAGTTTACCAAAGTACTTGGTGTAGACATTGCCACCGACACAGCTTTGGCTTTCAAGGACAGTGAGTCATTTCGTCTTTGGATGCTTTGTGAGCGGTGAGCACCCTACATATTGTAAAGTGTATGAACATGAAAAAGGTGTATTAAAATAAGAATACTGATACAAAGAGACATATGACAGACATTTCCGCGCAAAATCTCTAATTTGAATAAAGAAAAAATTTTTAATTTTTGTAATGCCATCATTTAATAGCAAATTCCAAACTCATACTTGATTTAGATTTCTTTTCTCTGGTTTTGGATAGAGTAGAACCGCCTTAAGGTCATAGCTGTGATATTGAAAAAAAGCAAGTGAATATTTACACGCAGTCGAAAAAGGGAATCAAGTAATGGCGTATCTCGAATCAAAACGTTAATCAAGTAAATGTATGGTGGTCGGGTATGATGTCAGAAAATGACAAAGTAACGTAATGGTTTATAACGGGAACTGCTGCTGAACATGCATAAAAAAATAACTTTGCGATCCCAAAGTTGCTTTACTTAGTTTAATATCTGTGTTAATTAGTTTTTTTTAAAAGCTTACAACTTTCGTAAAATTGATTTTTTTTAAATGAAAAATGAAAAATAAACATAGAATTATATATTATAATCTAAATACATGTATTCATTTTATGTTATAAGTAGACATTAATATACCATGTAAATGTCTCATCGGAAGTATATAGTAGATCATGTAAAAAAATTATAAAAAAAGCCAATATTTCTGAATTCCATATTAGTTGAAAACCTAAACATAGATTTTAGACTTGAGTATTATTTTCGTTTGTATCGGGTCACTGAGCCATTGCATCCAAAAACTGAATTTGGCCATATCGCACTAATTTCTGATATAGATTACATGATCAGGTCCGGAAAAATTTCATAACATTACAGATGATTTTTGAGCATAACATCAGACATTTATTAAATATGCAAAATTGATTTACGCGTTCACCGCCGTTTATTAATATAGCAAATAACTATCGTATATCGGTGAATTTTGTTTTTCCCATGCTAACTTCAAAAAATTATATGACTATTTCTAGCAGTGTTGTCACTGGACCATTCCAGTGAGAATCAAAATTGAAAATTCGTTGGAATTAAACTTTCAGTTGCTTCCATCAACACACTGCTTCTAGTTTTCTTTTTCAGATACACTCGTAAATCGTGAGATATTGCATGTATTATACTTCTGGTAATCCAATATTCTATACTTCCCAAGGCATCATTCAATTTCTTATTGATATGACAACCAGAAAACGATATCGGTATCAAAGTTTTTATAAATACATGTAAAACAAATCGATACATGTATTGTGAGGTATGTGCTACGATAAATACGTGTAGAATGTTATTTAAAAAGCAAGAGACAATCTAACTGTTGATGCGTGTCTCAAAAAATGTCTTCGTACATGTACATGTATAACGCAAAAAATGGCTAGATACCGTAATAGCAGAAAATCAAATAAAAGTTTTTGACTTTAAAGGGTTTGTTAATATAGATGCTGAAGTATATAAAGCAGAGAAAAAAGACGGAAGAACTATCGTCTTGAAATGTCATTATGAGCTAAGAGGATTTTTATACACAATTTAATAAAGAAATAATATAATATACATGTAAATGCTTTTCTTAAATATAACTTTTAATTTAACACTTTATTTATTTTCTTGTAACTAAAAATCTTAATCAAAGTTAACACAACCCAAATATTATACGATTTTACGGAATCACTAGAGGTAAAAATAGTAGTCTGTTTTAGCAAGTACATAAAAATTGTGTCAGAGTTTCATTTCATTTACTAACGTTAAATAAGATCCACAGAACCTGATTCGGGAAAATTTATGCTGGTCTTGAAATACTGTATACTGATGGTGGAACTCTTCAAGATTATTTCAAATTAATTATGTGGTAATAGTAAGCTCTGTCTCGCTAGGCAACTTGCAGAAGGGGTAAAATGTATACATGAAGAAGGTATTATTCATCGAGACTTGATAAATATCTATTCAAATTAAATTTAGAAATAATTATTCAATTTGGTCGAAAATGTTATTTATATATTCGTACATAAAGGAAAAATTAAAATTTCGGATTTAGGGTGTTCGAAACTTAATCCCATTTCAGGGACTGACTTGGCTTTATAAGCTATGTTGACCCAGCTTTTCTAAAAAATATGAAAAATTTTCGACGTGACGAAAAATCTGATATTTTCAGCATTGGAGTTCTATTATGGATGATTCTAGCGGACGTCCTCCGACCAATGCATATTATCATGAAAACGTTCCTGAGAAAGAAATAACAATTTCTGGAACTCCTCCTAAATATGTTGAGCTCTATCAAAGATGCTGGAACAATTTACCAGCAAATCGTCCGCCTTTATCAGCGAATCTTCCTTTAACAACGAATATGTTTTTTAACACATTTAAAAATATTCATTATCTAGAATTTTTAAAGTTTAATATTTAAGTAAGTTTCTCTATTAAAAAATGAAATGCGTTTTTACAAAAATTCATCATATCGATATTAATATTATAGTTTCACTTGACTTTTGATAGCGAATCGGATCGATAAGAGAAGGGAAGGAAATTTTCGACTTTTGACAGAAATTTTGATGTAATTGGCAAAAAGTGAAGTTTTAACATATTTTTTTTTAGGAAAAGTTGGACACCGTGCATAATAATATATTTTGAAAGATTTAGGCATTTTTTTATCTTTATCATTACTTAAAATTAAATTTGTTAACGTTATCACGATTTTTAAAGGAAGAATTTCATTTTAATCGAGTTTTAGAGTGTACAAAATAACGACCGACCTGTATGTGTACAATAACTTTATACATGTACATGGCGTTTCCTCTTTTTTAATACCAGTCACACGATTTGTCATGGAGTAACAGCAACAGCCTTCTTTAATCGTGGTTCTAAAGGTTCCTAAACAGAAACTACACTCATAGGACGTTATGTTACAGTTCAGTAAGATAAGTGCTTTCTTATGTGCAAGTTTGAAGGGAGATAAAAAATAAAGTTAAGAATAATCTCGTCTGTAAAGTTTGCTCGCATTATAGTGTATAACAATGGCAACACTATAGAGCTCCCATTTCTCCAATTTGTGAAGGTTTTTGGGGCAGTTAGTGTGGTTACGAACTACCGACGTGATTACAAACCACCAGAAGTTGTTACGGATTATAAAGGAGAGTTGCAAGTTATCGGGAGCGGTTATGAGGCATCGGGTTAGGTTGGTTGGGTTACAGCTGTAAGAGGCTATTAATGATACGATATCAAAATGTATATATTCAATGATTTTAAAGAATAATATCCTAACAAGGAATTGATCAAATCAGATTTTTTGTCATACAGTTCTGAAAATTCTGACAGTGAGGACAACCAAACTACTTTCAAAATCATCCAAGAAAATCTACTTATCAATTTTTAAAAACAAAATTATTGAATTATATGAATAAAAAATAAATAAAAATAGATAAAATATTAATATTTATAAAATATAATATTTTAGTTATATATATTATATAAATAAAATATGAAATAAAATTATTATGAAAACAATTCTTTTTTAAACAAATTTAATTATTATTACTTTTTATTAAAACTATAAGCTTTATTATTTAATTTATAAAAACTTAAAAAAAATTGGGTAGTATATATTATATTAATTTCTATTATTGAATCTTGGGATATTAAGTCTTAAAGAGACTATATAAAATTTTTATTTATAATTTTTATATAATCTTTTTAAAATTTAATATCTCAAGTTTTAGTAATAGTAATTGAATATAAGATTGAAATAATTAAAATAAAATTTGATAAAAATTATATAGTAAATAATTTAATTATTAAACTTTGAATCTTAATATCTTTATAATTACTGATTCAATTTTTATGAAATTTAGAATATATATTTATTAAATATAAATCAATCTGCTTGCATAATTTGAAGATTTAATATTATAAATAGATAATGATAATATTTAAAATATCTTTTTTTTTAAAAAAATAATTTTATTTTAGTTTTTTTTAGTAAAGTAATATTTTATTTATTATTGAGTATAATAAAATAATTAAAATAATATAAAAAGTAAATTTAGATCATGTCTTATTTAATATAAAAAA